ATTTTTGTTTTTCGGTCCCGGTCAGTTCCTTTATTTTTTTTGCTCAACAAGTTTTGATGCTATGGGGGGGAGGGGAAAGGGAATGGGGATGAGGGTTTCTCAAAAATCAAAAAGGGGGGACGTAATGCCGAAAAGGTTGGGATCCGCTGCATTAGAGCCACAAGTGTTTCATCTGCAGGTGAGAACTTCAAACCGGTGCTGACTGTATTTGCGGCCAAGACATTTGACAGTACGTAGGCTTACCGAGTGAACAGGCTCAGTATTCTTCAACTTGACTTGCGCGTTTGGCTAGTGTTCCCTGTTAAGGATGTTAAATGGCATTTAATCAGCTAATCGATTAGTTGAAAAAGTGGGGGGAAATGCAGAGCCACAGTGAGGTTAGTTCCCGGGCTGAGAGCTAACACCCCTGCGGCTCTGCCTTTTAAATGTATTAAGAGCCGCCAGCCTTTTCATACATTTAAAAGGCTGAAGCGTAGTGGGGGGGATTGTGTGCGAGTTGGGATTCAGCTGTCCCGGCTTGCATCCAGTCCCCTCCTATGCCTCTGCCTTCCCTACCCCCCTGCAGAGATGGCGCTGCATCCGCCTTGGTTGCTCCCATGGGGCAGGCTTCAGATTGGGCTGTATGGGGCCTGGCCAGGCGGGATGGGCTCTTGTGGTGCGCAAGCGGCCGGCGCCCTCCCTCTTTCCCCAGCAGCAGGTTAGGCTGTGCTGTGCCCGGTGGTGCTGGGGCTGAGGACCCTGCACATGCAGGATGCAGGTGGGGATTCGGGGTCCTTCAGGGCTTTGCATGCATGGGGACTCGATCTGGGGGCATGCAGATCCTTAAGTAAAATGAATGTTAAATCCTGGCACGCCACTTCTGAAAGGCTGCGGACTCCTGGGCGAGAGCTTTACCTCTGTACAGTTCCAGTAGCGCATACTTCCTCTGTAGACACGGCATTGGCACCAGTATGAATTGTGGTCAAGATGTTGCACATAAGGAAGGGATGGTTTGGGACAATAATGGCAAGTTCACATTAGGGATGAAAAGCGACTAGTCAGCTACCCAATAAGCAAATGCAAGGGGAGCAAGAGAGGCAGCAAGTGGGGGGGAGCATGAGCTGGTGCTGGGGGGAGCCAGCTTAAAAGCCGGTTCTCTTTTTCCCGCCCCCCCCCCCTCCAGCACCATCTTGGCAGGGGGCACCAGGGAAATGGCGTGAGCAGTGATTGAAACAGTCCTGCTTGTGCCGGTCCCACAGCTGCGCCTGTCCCTTTGGAATGCGCAAGAGCCACCTGCGACTCGCGTACATATCAAAGGAAGAGGCACAGAGGGGAGCCCATGCCAGTGGGGACTGCTTTGCTCCTGGCGCGGGTACCCGCAGCTCTTGTATATTTCAAAGGGAGAGGTGAAGTGGTATAGCAAGCGCCCCCCCTCTTCCCCCATTGACTATCGAGTAGTTGATGGCAATTCCATTGACTACTCAATTAGCTGATTAATCAAAATTTAACATCCCTAGATCACATGTGGTTCCCCCAGGCGATGAATCTTTGAAAGCGCCGTCTGGTATGTAGCACTAGGACACTTCTATACCACAGAAAGGCTCATCTCTGTGTTAGAGATGTTAAATTGCGTTTCTATCAACTAGTCAATTTGACTAATTTCCATCAATTAGTTGATAAGCAGGGGAAACTAGTTGCTTACATCCCTACTATGTTTACGCACACATCAGATTCCACACTCTGCTTTATATAGGTTGTGCCTTTCCTAAAGCTGTAGATCAAACTTTGTAAATGTTTGTTATCAAACAGAGTAGCTTAAAATCCATCCTACATGTAGTGACAAATTCAACAGGATTTTTATTGTAAAATATATCGTGAAGACAAATGTTAATAGGATATAGAATCACAAAATCGTATGGAGTATGTTTACGAAGGAGCTTCTGTCGATTAACATGTTCAGTGTAGAAGAATAAACTCTTCATTTAGTTTGCCTTATTTGATGGTGCCCTCAAGAGACAAGGTTAATATGCTTTTTATTTTGCCGGTATACAGTTTGGTAGTATTTGACTAATAATAAAAAGGAATTGGAAATGCTTCTGCAACTTGGGAGGAGGTTTCAATGCTCAATAGATTGCACTACTGATTTTAAGAAGGGCAGATTGTGGTAGCACTTATAAACAAATAATGGTTTATGTGACGAGTTATTGACAGTGTTACGCCCTCTTGTGCTTTCCGCAAATTGGCTTATGAATATGCATAACTTGACGATGCTTTATGCAAAACAGGTCATGTAATATATCATTTTAAATTTAAAGTCACAATCTGTTCAATCTGTATATTCAGGTTTTGTGCATGTATCATTCCTGTATTTGAAGTTGGAAATATGAAGTGTGAATCTGGTTTAAATGTGCTAATGAGGGCCATTAGTGATACTTAATGACTCAGTACCCAAACCACTGACCGGTGAATGGCTGTAATTGTCCTGTAAGCGCCAACTGTTGTTGGGTCTAGAAAGTCTTGTGACCATGCCACCTGGTATGGGTATCCACCTTGAAGCTAGTATTTTTCCATGGGAATGGGGAGATGGAAGAAAGGGTTCCTGCTCTGTGGGAAAGTCTATTTAAGGAGTGGAAAACAATCAGGTCTTTGTCTTCAACTGACCTTTGAAACTGCCTCAACCACCCTAAGAGAATAGACACGGAGAAACGTGGGAACAAGGTGAAGATAAGGCTGCAGGGTCCGGGTCAGAAAAAGATCCACTGTGGCCTGAGATAAGAGCAACTGTTTAGGATAATAATTTGCATGTAACAGTTTTCTTAGTGGATTAGAGTTAGCTGACGTGTTTTGTTTGGTTTTGGCTTAGTGACTTTCACTTGCAAGCACTTGTATCCCACTTTTGATACTTAATAAAAACCCTTTTGTTTATTATCAAGCCCAGTGTAAATAATTGTTACCTGGGAGGGAGCAACCACTGTGCATATCTCTCTTCCATTGATGAAGTGGGAAGGACATCTTTAGGAGATTTCTCTGTTTTATTTGGAGTTTTGGTTCTCTTTGAGGGCTGTGTTTCTGGGTGTTGTCAAAGGCCTTATAGCTGAATCATCCCAGAGCAGAGCTGGTTCAGCATCTGTTGCTCTGCAGGGTGGAGGTTATTTCAACTCCATGCCTTGGCCCAGGGAGCCCAGAGCTTCTGGCCTAGCAGGACAGAGTGATGGGGAGCCCCACAGGGCAGGAAGGCAGCATCAGTGGCTTGATCATATCAGGGCACAACCTGAAAGAGATTTCTGTGACAGACCTGAAACAGACTCCTGAATGGCAGGACGGATAAAAATCAATTATTTAAAAAAAAATTGATTTTTTTGATGCTTTTTGAGGGGAAAAACATACCTAAAGATGGTGTTAATTAGAGCTACATTATAGTTCAAAAATATCTCCTCCTGGAATAGGGATTATTAATTCTATATTACGAGACAATATGTTCACGTAATGTTTAAGAAAAGTTTTGTAAACGAGTTCCAAAAGGTGATGAATTAGGGACCAATCTTACAGGATTCCAGAGGCTCCTGTATAGATTTAGGTTAATCTTTCTATCGACCCAGTGGGATTCAGTGCTCAGTCTAGAAGATACCGTCAGAGATGCTTAGTTCTGTGGTTCTCAAACTGTCTCCAGAGATAACATGCTTGTTGCCTCTACACGTGAAATGGATGAAACCCCGGGCAGAGTACTGTGTCTATTTAAAAGGCTGTTGAACGTTGGAAAGGATTAGTGGGAGAAGAACTACAGATTTTTTTTGTTGTTTTTTTGTTTTTTTGTTTTTTGGTGTAGTCTAGAAAACATTCTTCACACTGAGATTTAAGGAGTTAATCTATGTAGGTTAAGAGGTCACTTAGAAATCTTGTCCTTGTGAAGGTACTTTTGATAGCTGAGGGCTCTTTAACCGAGCCGACAAACCTGTAACTAGATCTGATCCTTAGGAGTTGAGGTCAGCAAAATTCAAAATGCACATTTTTAAATAGTAAGGGTAACTAGTCACTGGAAATATTATCTAAGGATGTTTTTGATTCCTCATCACTAGAAAGCTTTAATGATTAGATTTTTCTAAAATAAACTCTAATTTAACAATAAGGTTTCATGCTTTTCTCTGTGGCATGGGGCACAGGGCACTTGCAGGTTTAAACTTTAAAACATGATTGAAGTTTTTAATTTATAATTTGAGGACTTCTAGCCTCAGGCAAAGTTACTGGTTTCCCTTACAAGAGTAGTGTGGGGGAAAGGGGGTACTCTGGCCTACAGGAGGTTAAACTACTAGATGGTCATGATGGTCTATTCTAAACCTAACTTCTGACATTAAGTCTGTTTGTAAGACAAAATCAGTTGCTGCAGTTCTTTAGAATGACCCCTGCATTACACATGCCAGATAACTGAGAAATGAAATCTATGAAGTCCTTACTCGTAGTTTTATTTTATGAAATAGTTACAGTTCTTGGTTGGACGGGGTTTCTAAACTCTTTCCTGCACTCTAGTTCAGTGCATTATTTGTTTATATATATATAGGGAGAGGGAGTGTGTGACTGACTTGAATATTTCCTCTTTATTTTTGTTGTTGTTACCTCAAGATTTCTGCTAAATATATATCAGTTGGTGGCAGTGTGAACTAGAACTGTATATAGCCTTATGTTCTGATGTGTTTAAAGGGATAAAATGGTTAAACAGAAAACTGGGTTCATAAACATGCTATAGTGCACAGACCAAATCTGTAGGATCAATGTACGCATTATGGTAATGCAGTTATTCAACTCCTACAGTAAAATATCAAATTAGACTCTCATCCTGCTTTGAACATAATCTGCCTATTTGATATTCTGGCCATTTTAAATTAATTCTGGGTGGGAACAGCCTTAGTTAATTATACACAGCTCTCACACTTTTGTTAATTTAAGTGCCTGACACAGATGAGTTTGAATAATTTGATTTTTATGAATGTAAATGGAATCTTAATCTCTGCCCTTTACATTTTCAGCCCAGAATGTGACTGTTGAAGAAATTATCATTGCCTACAAACAAGCCTGTCAGAAATTAAACTGCAAGCAGATACCCAAACTACTGAAGCAGATACAGGTATTGTGGATGTTCTTACATATGTAGCACAAAAATTAAACCTGTTTAGCTCCTGGAATATGACTGAGAGGGTAACACTAGAAAAGTCAGCTGCTGCCATATCAGAACTGAAAATACAAATCTGAAAACATTCCCTTATGTGGAGGCTTAAAATACTTTTAGTACCAGTCAAACATGGAAAAAGAATAGCATTAATTCCTAATGTTTTTCTTAGCAAATGGAAAAGTGTTGCAGGATGCTCAGATCTAAAGTATTTGTTCCCAAAATACTATGCATAAATAACTTAATAAAGAATTACAGCTGTCTGGCTTCCTGCCTTTCGTTCTTAAATGGTTATTTTCCTGTACAGAGTGTACAGATGGACTCTCTTATACTCAGTTTAACTAAGATTGATTAGACTTCCAATGCTGCTTATGTATTGCTCTCCATTTTACACTGCGTTCCCTTTTTGTCTTAAGTGTGGGAATACTTAGAAGTGTGTGTGTTAACCATACATTGGCTTGGGTTAGGGTTTAATAGCAGGATTCACAGCTGCACAATTTCATCCTGGACACTGTTGCTCTCCTTGTGTTTTGTATGGGATGTCTAGGTGGCTACACAGACCTGTGAGCCAGTCTCTGCTCATCAGCCGTCCGCCTTGTGTCAAATCTTTCTCCCTAACGCTCACACACACATCATACAGCTGTTGCTTTTGGGATGGTTTTTTTCCTTTTTGTTTCCAAAGTCGTGCAAATATAGCGCAATCTTCCTTTCGGACAGAGTAAGCAGGAATCCCCTTAGTGGCCCCACCGTGGTCTGGGACTCCCATGTGTGCCAAACCACCAGTAGCTCCCTGAGCAACCCCAAACTTATAACTCAGTGCTCCAGTGCCCCTCCACAGCCTCCCATACCTGCATGGCAGTGACCCTCGTGGTCATTCTCTCACCTCTGAATTGGTTGGCTATGGACCAGCTTTCAGGGGTGGGTCAGCTTGTGCCTGCCCACAGCCATGGTGCCTGCATGTTGGTGGCCTGCAGTTGTACTACCAGGTCTAGTTAAGCATGCATCTCCAAAAAAGTTGCCTTCCCCATCTTGAATCCTCTTGTCACTGCTGGTCCTCCCCAGTCTGAAGATCAGTCCTTTCCCATGAACCTGTGCTGCTTTCCTGAGCCTAGAAACAGCACTGGGTGCTGTGAAACAGCTCCAGAAACTGGCCCTCAGTTTCTGCCAGTTCCTCCTCTTCCTCATCCAATGTCCCATCTCCCCTCTGCTGAAGCACCTTCTGCTGCTGGAGCTGCTGCTGCCACCGCCACATCATCTACTTGATGGTGCGGCAGTCTCCAAGTCCCAAGCCAAAGTCTCCTCACTTTGGATGCTGAAATAGCGTCCAAGGAGCCTTTGTGTACTTGATGCTGCCAGCATAGTGGTGCGGCCAGGAGTGGCCTGAAGCCGGCTGCGGCAGCAGGCGCCCTAGGCAGAAGGCGCGATTGGGGCCCCCACCTGCACGGCCATCAATGGCTGTGACATAATCACGGGGCGCCCGGGCCGGCAGCGCCCTAGACAACTGCCTAGTTTGCCTAGGGTCACAGGCTGCCCCTAGGCTAGCTTGCAGCAATTTGAAAATGGCATTGGTTTGCCCATAAAGAGGTCTGCGCTACAGGAACAATTTGAACTAAGATCCGCAACTCCAGCTACATGAATAGCGTAGCTGAAGTCAGCATACCGTAGGAGAAGCTCTGTCATCGACTTCCCTTACTCCTCACAATCCAGGGATCAGTGGACGAGTTAGCCGGTCCTTGCTAGACCCACTAAATCAAACAGTGTTTCTGCAGCATCAATCTCCTGATAAGCGGAGACAAGTTTGAAGTGTGGTATACAGATGAATCATGGGATTTTTAAACACCTTGAACTAGCCATGCTGCTATGCATCCAACAGTGCACAGCAAGAAAAATCCCAGAATGCATTTCATTCAGCAATGAGGCTAGAGCATAGGACAAAGTTCCCTCTATTTTTTTCCATCCATGTGCAAGATGAACTTCATGTGCACTGAGGCATATGCATATGTGTACCATCAATAGAAATACATGCAGCTGACTGGACAGCTGTGGGCGCTTTACTAATCAGCGGGCGGCACCTGAATCTCTCTTGGGTGGCTGCTCAAATGCACCGTTTATAGGGAACATTGGGATAGGATAGGCTTTGAGAATGCTGCAAGCTGCTGCTATGGGTACGTGTGATGTGCTTTGTCCGTGGGCACACCGTTCTGTGTGCATCCTATTCCTGTAGCTTGGTGCTATGGGTACGTGTGATGTGCTTTGTCTGTTGGCACACCGTTCTGCGTGCATCCTATTCCTGTAGCTTGTATAATGGGCATTACCTGATGCACACAAACAGCAAAAAGCTGCGATTAAATCCCCGCAGTTAGACGAGCCCTGGGAAACGCAGTGGGTATGTGCAGGTTTCTAGTGAGCTTGTGGAAGGGTTCTGGGGAGAATGCTTTTCCCTTGTATGTATGGGGGTTAGGGTTGAAATTAGGGATGTTAAATATTGGTTAATTGAATAATCGACTAACCAATAAGAATTCATGAGGTTAGTCGATTAATCCTGGGGGATGGGCTGGCAGCCAGTGCAGTCTGGCCCCACTCCTGAAGAGCCCCTGGCCACTCCGTGCTGCTGTTTCTGTATCGAAGGCAGCTGCATGGAGCGCCAGGAAGGAGCTGGTTCATGAGGGGAGCCGGTTTAAAAACCAGCTCCCCTCATGTACTGGCTGCCTGTCACCCTGCGCTGCTGCCTCTGATGTATGGGTGGCAGCAGCCTCTGTCCAGGGCAGGGGCTGAGCTCCTGGACCTGGCACAAGCTGGAATTGAACCGGGCCGCCTGTCCACTTAGCTCCTAATACACTTTAAATGCAGAGCTGCAGTGCGGGTAGATCCTGGATCCGGCGTGAGCCAGGTCTGAGCCTGGCTACTGGCCAGCCTGCTAAAATCTTTAATGGCAAGGGGGAGAGGGGAATGCATGTAGTCTATAGCATTAACCTATGAGCTGTTGCCTATTGGTTAATTGACTACACTATTACATCCCTAGTTGAAATATCCTCCACTTCTATATTATCCTGGAGGAGGGATTTGTCTTTTGAGTGTAATAACATGCTGCTATTTCTCTTGCAGGAATTTAAAGATCTCTCCCCCAGGATAGAGTGTTTGGATCTAAAAGGTAAGCGCCTCTCTCATCACACTCATGACTTAGCTTTTTAAAAGAAATTTCTTTGAACAAACCCTGTTGTACTGTTTGTATAGCTAGCTCCTACCTCGGTGGTATCCTGATTCCGAACGGGGCCTTTGCTGTGCTAATGCTGTACATGTAGTGCCAATACTGCGGAAACAGGAAAAGTACATTCTGTAGCTGATCTTGCTTGAGAAATATTTGTACCTACACTCATGACTTAGCTTTTTAAAAGAAATTTCTTTGAACAAACCCTGTTGTACTGTTTGTATAGCTAGCTCCTACCTCGGTGGTATCCTGATTCCGAACGGGGCCTTTGCTGTGCTAATGCTGTACATGTAGTGCCAATACTGCGGAAACAGGAAAAGTACATTCTGTAGCTGATCTTGCTTGAGAAATATTTGTACCCATGGTCCAGGAAGGCCGACAAAATGGCTGCTATGGTAGTCATCAGGCCGTGGGTATAGACAGGACTTAGCTGACTTTTGTCACTCTCTCCTGGTTTATCGTATTTTTCTGATGTGGCCAGTAGGAACCCTTGCAGTAGGCTGACCAGCTGCATAATTCAGGGCATGGCACTTCTCCCACTATATTGAGGTTAATACAGAACTACAGTGCATCTTTCAGGATATGTCTATCGCTACATCTACACTACAGCCTGGATCCGTGCTCTGAGATTGATCTATCAGTGGTTGATTTAGCGGGTCTAATGACAACCTGCCAAATCAACCGCAGATGAGAAGAGTAAGGGAAGTTTGATAGGAGAATGTCTCCTGTATCCATCCCTGCAGTGTAGACTCTGTATACCCTGACTTCAGATATATTGACTCCAGCTAAATTATTCACGTAGTTGGAGTTGCGGATCTTATGTCGATTTCCTGTTGTAGTTTAGAGGTAGCTCAGGCTACAGTACTGTGGTGCTGCAGTGCCATAGTATAGCTGCTTCCTAGTGATGGAAGAGGTTTTTCCATCGATGTAACTAATTGGTCTGTCTGGAAGGTGGTAATTAAGTCGACAGAAGAATGCTTCCTACTATTTTGCTACATCTGCACTGGGGTTAGTTTGCTCTAACTGTGGCACTCGGGGCTTGATGCTTTCCACAACCGAGTGAGGCAGCTAGTTCCATCTAATTCTTCAGTGTAGACCAAGCCTTGGAAGATTCTTGGATGTTGGTTCAAAGAGTCCAAAGTTATGAAGAAGAGGGAGATGCACAGAGGAGGCAGAGTCCTCACATAGGGCTTGCCTCCACTATTGGAAGGATCCAGTTGACCGTTGATCACTTGGATATGTATTCTGGTACTCCACTGGTATGAGATGAGTAAGGGGGGAATGGGAGAGTTTCTCCCATTGATCCAGCACGGCGTGGACCCTGGAGTAAGTAGATCTATGCTACAAGATGAGTAAGGGGGGAATGGGAGAGTTTCTCCCATTGATCCAGCATGGCGTGGACCCTAGATCACAAAGAGAAAACAGTTTCTTGCCACTTTAACCAGAAAGGACACTCTCTAAATGACTTAGCCACCTGCATTCTGCTACAAAGACCTTTTACATCTGCACTTGAAAGGGAATCCTCTGAACTGTCATTCATGTTAAAATTCGACACTTACCACCAGGGACTTAACAAGTCTTTGAACTTTCTCACCCATTATCAAGACAGTTTCCCCAATTATCACCTGTAATACCATTAACTCACAAACATCCCACTCTCCCTACCTCTAATATCATCAATTCACAGACACTTACCTTCCTTCCTCCCCCTTCCCACCCCCCCGCCTCCTCCTTCTGTTCTGCAATGTGATTTGTCCTTTTCATATTTGTTCTTTTTTTTAATTGTATCCTTTGGTATATATGGTTGTGACTACTTTCTTCCACTATTTGATCTGAGGAAGTGGGTCTGGCCCACGAAAGCTCATCATCTAATAAACCATCTTGTTAGTCTTTAAAGTGCTACATTGTCCTGCATTTTGCTTCAACTACCCCAGACTAACACGGCTACATTTCTATCACGTTGACTTGAGTTACTCTACTAAATCAAATTGTGTGTCGATCATTTTGCCCGTAATGTAGACCTGCCCTTAAGAAAAAACCTGGTTAAATAAGCATGTTGAGCAGTTCTTTGAGTGAGCTCAGGCTCCTTCTAAAGGGACTTTCTACAACAGGGGTCTCCAACCTTTTTAAGCACAAGATCACTTTTTGAATGTAAGTGCCATCCAGGATCTACCTCAAACCCAAACATGCTTGCCCCACCTCCTTCCTGCCCCTTCTCTGAGGTCCCACCCCTGCTCACTCCATCCTCCCTCCCTCATCTCACTCGCTTTCATCAGGTTGGGGGCAGGGGCTTGGGGTTCAGGACTGGGGCCTGGGTTTGGCATGCGAGCTCCAGCTGGGCACTGCTTACCACAGGTGGCTTCTGGGTGGTGGTGCAGGTGGCTAAGGCAGGCTCACTCCTACCCTGGCCCTGCACCGCTCCCAAAGCATCCAGCAAACTCTCTCCATCCCTGCCCCCCTCTGCTCTGTGGCGTTGGGGTACAGGGTCAAGGGAGGGGCATCCTGCCATCAGCACCCCATCGTCGTCTTCCTGTGCCCTGCCCAGCAAGCAGAAGGCTCCCAGGTGTGAGGGGCACTTCCAAGGCAGAGGGCAGGAGCAGCACAGCAGTGCTGCAAGAAGCAGATGAAGTGCTGGCACTTGATAGGTGATCCTGAGAGGTTTGGCCAGGAGACTGTCAGAGGTTCCAAGATCTACCAGTAGATCCCGATGTACTGGTTGGTGATCACTGTTCTACATGTGGTATTACTCAGAGTTGCACTTTATTGCTACTTTAGGCCAACTAATTGCATGCCCCTGAGGGCTTCTTGCATTCCTTTGTTCCCCCCACATTCCACCGTCCCACCCTCTCTATTTGAGGTACTTCCTGCAACCCCTTCTCCAGTTAACATTTTTCTTAATGACATCTAGCCTCCTTTAACAGGCCATAGAATGTCACCAAAAGAATTGCTAGAGTGTATCTTTTAGAAAAACTCCAATCTTGATTTGAAAATTGCCAGTAATGGAAAGTCCATCACAATCCCTACTAAATGGTTCAACCATTGAATTACTTTCACCCTTTTAAAAAAAACAACCAAACTTGTGCCTTATCTCTAGTCTGAATTTCCAGCCATTGCATCTTCTTCTACCTTCCTTTGCTAGACTGAACAGTCCATTATCAAATAGGTGTTCACTTTTCAGGTACTTGTAGATCGTAATCAAGTCACACCCTCACCTTCTCTTTAAGCTAAATAGGTTTTCCCGTCCGTGAATCATTCTTGTGTCTGTTCTTTGAACCCTCTCCAGTTGAGAGCAGGGCTACTTAACTTTGGAAGCCCTGGGGGCCACAATGAAACTCACAGCACATGCCCAGGGCCACAGCTTAAGTGTGGTTGTATAGACATGCAAATAGTTTCTTTCACACTGACTGGCATGAATACAAAGCACTTCTCACAATGTTCCTGCACCCCTGGCACCTCCTCCCTGGGGGGGTAGAAACGCCGACATCCTGTACCCGTCTGTTCCAGCCAGCCCGTCCGCTTGCGTCTTCTGCTGCTCACCCCGCCTGGGAGACGCCTCGCCATCGTGGAGCATGTTCCCAGTGAAGGCCATGTTCAACCGATCCCACCCGTGGGCATGTGTTGAGCCCCGCGTAAACCCAAACCGCCCCGTGGGCCGCAGACAAATGGGCCGTGGGCCCCATATTGAGTAGTCCTGTTACTGAGAGTCTGCTGGAATTGTGGGCACGTTATTGCAGAAGTGGTCTCTTAGGCGCCCGACCGAGATCCTATGTTCTCTCTCCACTCCTGCTCAGTATTACCCTGTGTCTGAATCCCAGGAGCCCGTTAAGCCCTTTTGGCCTCAGCATCGCACTGGGAGCTGACGATCCTGGGAAGCGGTGACTCTGAAAAAGTGTAGGGATGTCGTAGATGGATTCATCCTGTTAAAACGGGCTGCATTCCTTGTCCCTGGATATTAGGGATGTTACATTTAGATGAACTGGCTAATTGAATAGGGCTAAGGTGAAAGCACTGAAGGGAGCAGGGGGCCAGTGGGAGACTCAAGCAGTCCCCCACTGGCCCGTGCTCCCCGTGGCATTTCAAAGGGACCAGCTGGGGATTGATCCCTGGCTGCACGTGGTGTGTCAAAGTGGCAGACCCTGGGCTTCCCACAGCCCTGCTACTCACCCCCTTCTCCGTCCCCCTTGCTGCCTCTTTCTGATAGAGGCGGCGGGGCTGGGGGAGGGGGGAAAGTGACCTAGACTCATAGAACCATAGAGCTGGAAGAGACCTCAGAGGGTCATCAAGTCCAGCCCCCTGCTCTAGGCAGGACCAATCCCAACTAAATCAACCCGGCCAGGGCTTTGTCAAGCCGAGACTTAAACACCTCTAGGGACGGAGACTCCACCACTTCCCTAGGGAACCCATTCCAATGCTTCCCCACCCTCCTAGGCAAATAGTTTTTCCTAATATCCAACCTGGATCTCTCCCACTTGAGCCCATTGCTCCTTGTTCTGCGTTCCTCCCATCTGTCACCACTGTGATCTCCAGCCTCTTTGGAACCTCCCTTCAGGAAGTTGAAGGCTGCTCTCAAATCCCCCCTCACTCTTCTCTTCTGCAGACTAAAAAGACCCAACTCCCTCAGCCTCTCCTCATAAGTCATGTGCTCCAGCCCCCTGATCATTTTGGTGTGTCATCTATCCAATAAGCATTTGCTTATCGGATAGTCGACTAGTCGTTCACATCCCTACTGGATAAAGTTCTATAACGTTACCTTTGGCCATTAAAACACAGATTGCTTGCTTGTGCCCATTTTACCAAGCAATCAAGATTAATCTGTGTTGGTGACCTGCTATCTTAATTATTTACTACTCCATAAATCTTTGTGTCAGCAGCAAACTTTAAGAAGTTATTTTTGTTTTTCTTACAGGTCATAGATAAAAATCTTAAGCCTCATAGAGCCAAGACCCAATCCCTGTGGCACCCCACTGGAAACACTACAGCCTAAAATTAATTGGCACAAGCAATTGGGTGATCACAGTTTTGAAAATCAGGCCATTTATTTTTAAGTGTAAATATGGATTTGGGGGGCTGGCTTTAGGCTCTGAGTTTTGAAAATCTTGGCTGTATTTTTTTAGTTTAGCCTCCTTCCCTCGCCTGTACTTAGGTTTCTAGAACTCACAGAAATGTATTTCTCTTATGCTGTGCATATTTATGTGCCACGAAAATACTTAACACTGGGTCTTCTGAATTCACTTTTTTTTTCCCCACCCCCCAGGAGAAAAACTAGACTACAAGGCCTGTGAGGCACTGGAAGAGATTTTCAAAAGGGTCCAATTTAAAATAGTAGATTTGGAGCAAACAAACCTGGATGAAGATGTAAGTTTCATTTTCATGTTATGTGATTTTTAACATGACTTTTTTTTCTCAAGATTAACAAAAGTGCTTATTTTCTCTGCCTTGTATGGTTTTTGCCTTCTCTCCTGAACTTTCTCTTCATGCACTCAGGTTAGCCAGCAATTAGTAAGACATGCTCCGTTTCTGACCTACACTGGCTGGTCCCCTCTCTATTCATGAGTGCGTTTTTTGCTTTAGGTCTTTGTTTGCATTTTTGCTATTTCAAAAATGAATGAACCCTTGATATCCCAGTGCCAAATGGCCATAATTCAAAGAGACCCAGAAGTCTTTTAAACAAACAGGTTTAAAAATCCGTTGGTGTAGACAGCAACCTTTCTAAGGTTCTATGCAATGTTAACTGGATGGCTTTTTCACCTGTTGGGACCTCAGTTCAGGTTTTATGTTCTCAACTTCCTCTGCACAGTGCATTCTTTATGGTGTCTTAGCAATGCCACTGGCTAAGGGATTTGGGGGTCATAGTGGACCACAAGCTAAATATGCATCAAAAGTGTGACACTGTTGCAAAAAAAGCAAACGTGATTCTGGGCTGCATGAACAGGAGAGTTGTGAGCAAGACACGAGATGTCATCCTCATGAGAGGAGTCTCTGGAGAGGGACAGAGGTGAGGATAGCAAGGAGAGGAAGAACGGAATATGAGGGTTTATCCCAATTTTATTGAGAGTAGCCCCTGGCGGTCTGAGGTGACTGCTCAAATAGTAGTGCGATAGCTGGCTCATAAAATGTGGGGAGTGGATGCAGACGCTGTCCTCAGGTGCGCTCTCAAAAAGCTTGCTTAGAGCCCGTCTCCTATTGTAACCCTGCCTCGACTGAGACTGGTAGGAACAGGGCAATGGTTGGGGCTTCAAGTGCTTTCTCAGTGGGGCTGGTGTGTTTAATTTGAGGAGCCCTCGAGTCCTTCGTGCTCCATGACTTAGTGTCCATCTGCTCAGAAAAGAGAGGCTTGCCCTTGAAAGGAAGGCCCCGAGTAATCAGCTGCACTTCACATGGGAGGCCTGGAGCCATGAGCACCTCCTCATGCAGGAGTGCTCACCACAGCTCATGGTGCTTGCAGGGAAGCTTTTATGGCCCCTCAGCCCTAGACTCCCATGGAATTGACTCTTTGAACTTAGTAATTGCACCCTGGAAGTGCAAGTGGGATGGACATTAGCAACCCATCTCAAAGAACGGGAGTTACGGAAGGTTAGTAACCGTCTTTTCCCCTCCGCTCTCCAGGTCCCCTCTATTTATTAGCAAGCTACTAGCTTCATGGATGAGACTTACATAACATTGTGGAGCATTCGGCAACGGCTCTGAGAAACAGACATCCGCCTCTCCTGTCCTGTAAGTGACCAGTACGGAAACAATGGAGGTTTTTTGCCTTCCTCTGTAGCATGGGGTACAGATCAAGATGCAGAGAATCCTCCAGCTGTGATCTGTACCCCATGCTACAGAGGAAGGCAAAAAACCTCCATTGTTTCCGTACTGGTCACTTACAGGACAGGAGAGGCGGATGTCTGTTTCTCAGAGCCGTTGCCGAATGCTCCACAATGTTATGTCAACTTTACAGTTTGTCTTTTCCTTTCTCTCGGTTTCCCAGGGTGCCTCAGCATTATTTGACATGATTGAGTATTATGAGTCAGCCACGCACCTCAACATCTCATCCAATAAACACATCGGTACCCGAGGCTGGCAGGCAGCTGCACACATGATGAGAAAGGTTTGTGTTAGTTCCTAAATATTTTGATCATCTGTTTTTAATTCTCTGCTTGTAAATACCCAGTAATACTCAAATGATCTCAAGTTAGCGCAGGGTTAGATTGGAGCTCTGTCAGGCCTAGTCTACACTACCGTGGGCGGTCATAGTTGAAGTTGATATACATAGATCTACTTAACGTGGTAAGTCAACAGCTGACGTTTTCCTGTCTACTCTCCTTTCTCGTCTCATTCTGGTGGAGTGCCAGAGTCAATGGGAGAGTGCTCAGAGGTCGATTTATCATGTCTATTCTAGATGCGATGAATCAACTCTTCCTCCCCCCCCTTTCCGCTGGATCGATCGCTGCCCATTGATCTGGTGCTCAGTGAGGAGATGCCCTTCATCTGACTACTGTGTGTGATGGGAAAGGAGGGGTGTGCATAGAAGAAGTCACAGGCAGCTTTTCCAGCTAGTGGGAAACTTCAGCTAGTAGCTTTGCTGGGCTGCTGGGAAGGAGGAAGGACTGTCCTGTGTTTGTGGATCTGGACTGTGATTAGCAGGGCTCGCCAAGCTGTAGTGAGCCCCCCTCACCAGCCGCATGGTTCAGCACGCTGTGCATGCGCAGACCGCGCTGCGCATGTGCTGATCATGCTGCGGCACCGTGCCGGGCTATAATCTACTTGCCCGTGGTGAGCAGATAACCTAAATTGTTGTGCCGGGCTATAATCTACTTGCCCATGGTGAGCAGATAACCTAAATTGTCGAGCCCTGGTGATTAGGATATGTAGGTTCTGTCGCCAGCTTTACCAGAGTACCTATGTTAGGCTGCCAAGTCCTTGAGTCTCCATCAATGTTAAGCCAGAGTGAAATTCTTCCTTTAAATCTATGTTTAATAGGGAGGCTGATCTGCTGTGCGTACCTGGAGTTGCTTTAGTGCCTGTGTGTTCGTTGCTAGAGCCCTATCAAAATCACGGTCTAGTTTGATTAATTTTGCTGTCATAGGATTTTAAAAATTATAAATGTCTTGATTTCACTGAAATCTGAAATTTCAGGGTGCTGTAAATGTAGGGGTCCTGGCCTGAGAGAGAGTGGTGGGGAGTGGCAAAGATTATTGTAGGGGGGCTTGCAATGCGGCTACCCTTACTTTTTGGAAATCAGAGATGAAGATCTAGTGTGATTCATGAAACCTCTCCTGCACCAACCTTGCTTGGATGGATAGCAGAGATTAGACCATAGAAGGGACCTACCATGCTCAATAGTGTAAGTATTCAGGTTCACAGAACTAACATGCATCTTCTCCATTATAGCAGTCTTCAGTTAATTGGGTGTAAACAAGCCTTGCAAAAATGCTCATTGCTCTTTCTACTTCGTTGCATAAGAAATCACATTCCACCCTGATATTACTTAATACGCAGCACTGAGAACTTTGCAGTTTCAAAACACCATACAAACATTAGTTATTTGTACTGTTTAAGTTGTCTCCCTTTAAAATAGTGTATTATGGGGAAGTAGACGTGTTTACAGAGTAAGGGAGGGAAACAGCTTTGCAGTGGTTTTCAGTCTCCTTGTTGTAAGCACAGCACATTCTCTCAAGATATAATAATCCAGTTTCTTTTTGTTTTGGTATCTGCATTTTTGGTGCCTGCAGTAGACACCAGGACGCTGAAAAGCCAAATCTTAGCAGAAAGCAGTAGCCTATTTATGGCTTTTTTTTGGTCCCTCAGTTATTCAGTGGAAGTCTCATGATTTTACAGATGTATCTATTTTTATAGCGGATATTTTTTTCAATATTTCCCCAGTTACACGCTGTACGCTTTAGTGAGACAAAATAACTGACGTGGCATCGATGAAAAGTGCCGTGGTAATCTCTCATTGTTCTGCCCTTTCACACCTTCTAAAGCTTGTATTTCTGACTTAAAAAAAAAGTTAATTAGGTTGCAAAATCAGGCTTTCAAGTTAAGAAATACTATTCTTAGAGTTGCCAGGCAGCTTTACTTCTGCCCCCGCCTGCATCCAACCTGTTCCCTGAGTGAGGCAAGGATTTTGAGGGGAAAAAATATGATCATGTAATTAGATTGTCATAATGTGCACAGACCAGCGAGTAGAATTAGTTACATGATCGTGACTGCGAGCTTTGAAGTGTTCCATGCTCTGTTGGTGAGTCTGGCAAAGATGGCGACAGTCTCCAATGCAAACGCTTAGCTCTTCATCTACGGAGGCTGGTGGTAACGTCAGCACCTAAGCAGCGGAACTTTTCGATAGCGGTGTTAAGTGGCTAATTTTCTTAATCATATAGTCGATAAAAATTGTCGAGTACACAATTAATCGTTAAGGGAAAGCAGTTGAAAGCACTCGGTCCTGGCTCGCTCTAGGTCACAGCCAGTGTTCCCGCTCATGTTTTTCTTCCATGTGTGGATTAAAATCACAGCCAGTGTTCCCGCTCATGTTTTTCTTACATGTGCGGATTAACATGCATGTGCACCAAGACATGTGCACCACCAATAGAAACACATGCTGCCAGCTGTGGGCGCTCTGCTAATCAGCTGGATGGCACCTGAATTTCTCCTGAGTGGCAGCCCAAACACACAGCTTACAGGGACCACTGGTCACAGCATCAACCCCGCTGCGACTCTGCATTGTTAGAGGAAGGGGGAGCTGGCACGCAAGGACACTGGCTCAGTTCAGGCTCAGCTATTGGCAGTAGGTACGGCAGTATCTCCTCAGGATACTCTGACGTTTCCCACTTGAGATGTTCTAGGCAAATCTACCCAACCCATCCCAACCTGGAAAGGTTCGTTCTTTGCCCCCACCCGGCCGGGATGCGGTATGACGGCAGGAGATGAATGTTCCAAGATGGGCATCATTTTGTTTCTTGCCTGAGAATTTCCTTTCTACTTATTTATAAAGGCCTTTCTGTGCAAGCTCTTCCCATGATGATCTGGTTGCTCAGTATTTTAAGACAGGCGATTAAAATCAGGACTGCACATGGCTCATTACTGTGTGTGCCTCTCCTCAAAACTTGCCTAACTGGCAGCTTAGAATGTGTGCAGAAGGCCCTTGAGGGCACTGATTTCATGAGCCATTAGCTGAAAATGTCCTGCTACCAGCACTAGATTATTCTTTTTATCCTAGGAGTCCATGTTAGTGTCAGCTGCTGTGATGGAACATGGGTGGATGGAAAACGTTTCTTGAGTAACTGGGTCCCAAACCATTGAGATCTTACAGACGCTTTACCCGGCCAGCTAGCTGCTGGAAGAAGAGCAGGTGGCCGCTCCAATACAAACTTAGCCTAAAAGGAGAAACTCTAGAAGTTGCATCTTAGTAGTTATATGGGGATTTAGCAAAAGGAGCAGAGTTGTCTGAAATCCGTTATCTGACTGACTTGGAAAATCTGGAGAACCATTCTGACCTCTTCACTCCAGCAAACTCCATCACTTCCTGTCTGTGTCCAAGGCATTTCCTCTCAAGCGGTGAAACGGCCCTGCCTCCAATCAGCTGAATTGCATAACGTGGCATTTGTTGGCAATCCGCTGTTGTCCAAGGCACTAGGTATTCCTCAGTAGAGAAGACACTTGTCATTCCTATCTTTTGTACCTGTTCTTGGCAGGCTGAATTCTGGAATGCTGAACAGGCGGCCCCCAACTTGCAAGTCGAACCCGCATTTACGATAGGCACTGTGTGTTGTCATAAATGTGGGCTGAGGACGTAAGTCGGGGGTTTTCGGCCCTTTCCGCACTTACAAAAATGGTTGTAAGTGCAGGGGGTCGCAACGCAGGCCGTCGTAACGTGGAGGTTTCCTGTATGTTTTGAACAGTGTGTGTTCTCTACAGCTGGTTGAATGGTTGAACACTGAGCTGCTGTGGAGCTTTGCAGCCCCCTTTGTAGGCCTCCCTGGCCCCTTGATTGGCTGGTTTCATCTGTCCCCACTCTAGCCTCTTGGAGGACTTCTCTGTGGCCTTTCTGGGCTTGGTCCACCACCCCATTACAGCCCCTTAGGGTTAAGACACAGGTGTTAAGGCAGGGAGGGTGGTTTGCTACCCCCCTCTCTGTCCCAGGTTAGTGATATGACCTTGAATAAGATATTGCTCCTCTGTGCCTTCGCTTTTTCTTGCCTTCACACCCATGATCTGTTTCCTAACTGTTTTTCCTAAGGAGGTGAATGTTTGCAAGAGACTCTGCGAGAGACTCAGAGGGAAGGGCAGATCAGGCAAAGCAGAGGCAGAGTCAGCGCTCAGCTGGCTTGAGGAGACCGTACCCATGCATGGGGCATGTGCCATGGCTCCGGGTTTTGGTTTGCTTGTTTGCCCTCTCACCCACCTCTGCCTTCCTTTTCCAGACGAACTGTCTGCAGTACCTGGAAGCGCGGAACACGCCGCTGCTGGATCACTCGGCGCCCTTCGTTGCTCGGGCCCTACGCATCAGCAGCACACTGGCCGTGTTACACTTGGAGAACGCTGGCCTCTCTGGACGCCCGCTCATGCTGCTAGGTGAATAACCTGGGGAGATATGTTCCCGGGGCAGGGTCTGTTTCCTGGAGTCATCCCAAGGGGCTGTCTCTGCTGTGCTTCCAAACCCCTTTATTTCCTTGGGTCACTTGTCCGTTTGTAATGCCTTGAAAACAGAGGACGAACTATTCTACTCTGAGTGTTTGTGCCGACGTGTTCCACAGTTGGTGTACGTGTGCCCCAGGCATTCGAGAATCCGTTCTTTGTCAGCCGGGTCCACTGGCTCTGTGGTCACCCCTCCCACCCAAGGGTCTAAAGGGAAGAGTGGCCCCAACTTTCCCTCGGTCACTACTTACCTCCCATAGCAATGAGATGAAATCCCTTCCGTGTCTGTTGGGCACAGACTGTGATGTTACTTAGCCGCATGCAGAATATTTAAGCTGTCCAAGACCTCTGTGGTAGTGTGCTCAGATGTGATTTCTGCTCCGTGGCAATTCGACAGGCAGAAGTGTACGGTCTCAGTGCATGGATAAGACACGGGTGTCAGGAGCATCCTAGTGCCGAGACAGAAATCTGCCTTTTTGTCTCTTACAGCAGCAAGGATTTTCACTAGGTGAGCAGTAGCTGTCCTCAGCCAGCAGCCAGCCTGCTGAGGTCGGTTGTGCCACCCAGTGGCGCACACGGGCATTTGGTAGTGAAGTTCCCACACCTGATTTTATGAATCTTTGCAGTGGGCCCTGTAGGGGGTGCCAGGTGGCATCGTAATAAGCATCCGTTTGGCGTGTTGCTGGAGGACTTGAGCTCAGCGTGTTTGTGTGTGTGTCCATCGTGGTGAAATGGCTAAAAAGCATGTGGTGCGGATTGAAGGGAGGTTAGGTCTCTGAGGAGAGGCTCAGGGTTGGGCATTGACAGCATCTATGGCAGGGGTGGGCAAAGGGGTCTCGCAGGCCGGATCCAGACTGCCAAGCGGGTGGATCCGGCCCGAGGACACCCTGCCACCCTCCCCCCCCCCCCCCCCCCAACACGG